CAGGATCCCAAAAACCCACCCCTAATGTTCATTTCACACTTTTGAACCTTAGCCTAACCCAGCCCACCATCCAGTCATGTCCTGACAGAGAGGACCTTGGCGCAAATATCAGGTCAACAAAATGTTTGCTTTTTCCCCATCTAAGGTACCTGTCAGAGCTGTGCTGTGTAGACAGGCCTTTGGGTACAAGCCAGGCTACCTTCCCTGTGGTGAGTGCTCTTTTATCTGCAAACTGCAATATGTCATCCATCACCGCTGTGTTTAGCCTATCAGATGGGATGTCGGCTCAGTGCCATGTGGCTCTCCTCAGGGTGTTAAACTGCTGTCCTACCTGTACAATGAAGCACAGAATAACTGCAGCAATGAGAACTATCCAGTCCTGCTGTCGCTGCTGAAGAGCAGTTGTGAACCTTATACACGGTCAGTCGCTGTGCTATCCATACAGACGTGCCCTAAAAAAAACAGAATAATATAACCCAAGGACATGACTTTATTTCACTGATATGCAGAACTTGCTCTATAGATGTTTTTTTTTTTTAAGAGGCTGTTAGGACTGTGTTTAACTGTTTTTACTGTGCTTCACTCAGGTTTGTGTCAGACTGGGTGTATAGTGGCTTGTTTCGAGATGTTTATGGTGAATTCATGATTCAGGTCAACGAAGAGTACCTCGGTTTCAGAGGTGAGACGACACACATCCTGTCGCATAAACACTTTGGCTTTGGTCAGCAGGTTGTGAAAATGAAACGCCTGCCAGACACATTGTCTAGCAGAAAAAATAGATTTCATTACAGCCTTTATTGCCTGCTTGGATTTGTCCTTGTGTCTATAAAGGATGTCATGAAGTTATTGGACGATAATCAGTAGGAAACAGAATCAGCTGCCACAGCTGTGGGGACCAGAGCTATCTCTGCTCAGTAAGCCTCAGGGACTAACACAAATAAATAATGCTCCTTTATTCTTTTCAGTTGCTATACCATGCTGGCTGACAAAACATTTTCTGAAATAAATGAGTTTTTTTTTTTTTTCCTTACATTTCTGGTCTTGTAACTGTTCTTGACAAATGTGGACTGACTGAATTAGTTTTTTCTAATTAATGACTTGTCTCCTTGAGGAGAGCAGAAGTATAAAGGAGTACAGACCTCGCTGTACTATGTAGTAACTGCCTGGCCAATTCTCTGTGTTGGTTTTGTTGCTTTGCTTACGCTGCTCTTCGTTGCCATGTCCCGTTTCATCTGTATAATAGTTTTTCACTGTCAAGACAAGATTTTATAGGCTAGATTTTATTGTTTGATGTAACGGAACATTCATTTGTCACAACACAAGTTCAAATTTAATTCTGTGCATTACAGTCAGAGCTGCAATAACAATTATTTTTTGTTACTGTATCTCTTAAACTGTAGGTTATTTTCTTAATTTACAGTTTAATCATTTTGTGTATATATACCATAAAAATGCCCATTACAGTAGCTTAGAGTAAAAGCTGACATCAGCAAGCGTCTTGCTGTGTCTGACTAACAGTTCAAAACTGAAAAATAATTCAGTTTACTTTAATGGATGATCAGGAAAAGCAGTGAATTCTTGCCTTTATGAGCTGGGAAGCCATCACATGTTTGTCAGCTTTGCATAAAAAATGACTTAAAAGATGAATCAGTTGTGGAAATAGTAGCTGGTGATGTTTTTTTTTTTTTTTTATATCTGCTGTTGTTGTGGGTTTAGATGCAATAATAAAATGGTGTTCTGATAATAAACTTTATATCTTTTAGTTTTGAACTGTTGGTCAGCCAAAGCAATCAATTTGGTAGTGCCACCTTGGGCTCTGTCAAAATATTATGGGTATTTTTCACTATTTTGTTGAACATAATTATATATAACAAACACTGGAGAAAATTATTAGCAGTTTAAAATCCTTTGAAATGTGAATGCTTCATTTTGACACTGCTCCATAAATACAATTTTATATGAATCATTATAGCCTGACCAAATATTGTATGTCATGCAACACCTCATGCAAGGTCAGACCATCACCTCAGCTTTCTCTGGCTAAGAGGTTCATTTGCTCATCGGCTACACCTCATCAACTTCTGCATTCAACCTCTGCACTTCTTGTTCTTGCCTTTTGGAGGACATATAAATGTCATCGTTCTCCTCGAAGTCCATCGACCAAGGGAGCAATCAACAACTAAGCTCCCTTTACAAGCCGCAGGCTTTCTGTAAAGAGCTGTGGAAGCTCAGTGTGTTCATGTTCTCTTATGCTTTTTGCTTGGGATCAGTGAGCTAAGCACTAACATTTTCCAAGTGTTAATTCAAGCAGTCAGTTTTGCCATGCCCCGTAACACATACTAACAAGGAAAAGTGTTGGGCCCGGCGCAGACTGAGTATTACCCCAGCACTGTTACTTTTTGTACTTTAGTTGTGAGAGTGGTGTAATGTTATCGGAGATGTAATGGGCCAGTAAAACTGCTTGGTCTAAACTATAGAATAGACTGTAACATGCATCTTTGGCTTTCTGCAGACAAACACTTCTGGGTTCAAGGCTACACTCTGATCTCAATGGATGTGGAGGACTGTGTTCCGATCTTCCTGAGACACATCGCCAATGACGTGTATGTCTGCGGAAAGACCATCAACCTCCTCAAGATCTGCTGTCCACAGGTTTGTCATTTACATTTGACACATCCATATATACAGATGGTGAATTTTATGCCACTGAATGTTGAATAAATAAATGTAAACTAAATTATATTCTTCATTTATTCATTACATAGAGAATGTTGACTGCTGTTTGCAGTGAATAAATTAAGCTTATAAAATGTTCACCCTTAAGATTAATCTACCTTATTAGATTTGTTTTTCCTGCTGTTACCAGCTACTCCATGCACTGTACTACTTTAGGGAGGGATGCACAGATTAGTTCTGACATTAGCAAAATTGACAAATTATCCATCTGCCACAACAATGATTCTACCTTTTTTGGAAATCCATACTATCCACAAAGGGTGGGACAAATGATCAATACTGTGCTATCTGGGAACACGGGCTTCTGTAAATCATTGTCAGTACACTGTCATTAGTTTTATGATACAGTCTCTTTTGTTATTGCAGACATTTGAGCTGAACTGTTCTACTTTTCTGTCATTGCTGACTTTCTTCCTTTGTGGCAGAGATATCACAGGGGGTTAAAGATTAATCAATTAGTTGATACAGAAAAAAAATCTGTAGCTATTTTGAAAATCAAGTAATTTTTAAAGTAATCAGCCAAAAATGCCAACTATTCCCTAGTTCCAACTTCCACAATGTGAAAATGTCTGTTTTGCTGTATATCAATACAAACAAAATATTTTGGAGTTTGCTAAAACTTTAAGCTTGATTTACTGTACGGTTCTACATTTAATCTATGTATAGCCTACGCCATAGGCTATGTAAGTGTCCTACGCCATTGTGAGAATTTATACTGTTGCACTGGTGTGCCTGTGTCGCCCTGTAGTTGCACCGTCAAAACACGAGTTGGAGGTGGTGTGTCCATGTCACTGTGTATGTTTCTTCGCAACTTACTAACAATAGCGAATGAAACTGAGCAGGTCGTGTTGGGGTTAAAATTAATAGATGTTGAACAGTTACTTTTACTGAATGACTCCAACACAGACAAGAGAGAAGATGTGGGAGGAGATGGTCTGTACAAACCAGCTGAGGCAGAACGAGGGGGGATTTTCCTTGCTTGTCCAGCCAGTGGGGAGCGTGAACAAGGAAGTGCGACACAGCCAATCAGTTGTTGTGTCGCTGCAGTGTACAGTTACTTTTCTGGAGTGGTGCACGTCAGGCTCTATGGTGTAGAGTACAAGGCGACACATTATCTACACTGTAGACACAGTGTAAGATTTAACGCAGAGCCATAAATCAAGCTTTAAGAAAAAGACTTATACTTGTATTGACATGAGGCTTAGCATGCCAGATCATTGCTCAGCTTCAGTGTTGCATTGAAATTTTTATATAATTGTATTTAATTTTCTCGCTTCTTTGGCGCACCTGCTGAGCCACCAGCAGATGATTTTTTTAATGACTCAACCTACCTGACCTAAGCCACAGGGCCTGCGTTCTGGACTAATTGGCATTCTGTAACCATAGCATTTCTCTGTGTGCTAATTTCCATTAGTGTTTGGTTGTTTTATTCGTTAAGAAAATGCAGGACAGCTATGAATACACTAAATTAAGGAGTTGGTTACTAATAAACTTGCTATTGAATAATAGATCAGATTGACGTGCCTTGTGTTACTGTGCTTTTATTAAAGATATATTGTGGCTGTCTTCTGAATGAAAGGCTTAATGCAATGCACTGTGCTGCTTTGATTTCTTTTTATATTTTTGCTTTTTCAAAATTGAACATTTATATATAAAACAACACAAAGAAAAGTAGAAAAGGGGGGATTCAACATTTTCTGTTGGCATGTAATAAAACATAATAATTAGACGATACAATTAGTGATGCAGTCAGTGTGGTTAAGGTGAAAGGAAGTTTCCATATTTCTCTTCCAGTAGGTATGTTTCTCTATTGGTAGGTAACTTTATTTCTGAAATTTTGGGGCCAGGGTCTTCTGATTTTCATTGTAGTCTTGCACATTTTTTGGCAATAAAATGTCTATAAAGTGAACCACGTATTAATTCCATGGATTTGTGATAAGGTATTACATACATTTTACCATAAACCATGTTTTTTGGTTTGAGACCAAGTAGAATAAATGAAGGTTAAACATATGAGTTACATTTGTGTAATTTAGATGGAGTGATGCTGATGCACCAAATGTCACTGAATTAATCTGTACCTTGAATTCAACGTAGTTGTAGCCCCCTCTTTGCACAGCTCACTACTTGGCTTCTCATTCATATTTTCCCTAGATCTCTCCTCCATATCATTCTGGATTTATTTGTTTTGTGATATCTCTAAAAATGAGTTGCACACGTCTGACAGCTGGCAGCACATATTTGGTTATGAAAGAAATTTGTTGAGATTGGTGTTTATAAAACGTGATCATCAAAATCCACCAAATGAGAGAATCAATAGACACTAGACACTAAAATCAATGAGATTCCTTTGTGGTGCTAAGTATCTGCTAACTTTGTGTCCACAGCACTACATCTGCTGGTCGGAGCTGCCCATGCCTCGCATTGCTGTCACTTTCTCCCTACAGGAGGTGGAGGAGATTGAAAGGGACTGTGCTATATACCGCGGGCGCATGGAGAGGATTGCTAAGCACAGTGCCATCAGCAGGGAGGAGCAAGTACGGACATAATTGTTTTCATGCAGTCTCACGTTTCTGTAAAGTATTTTTATATTGCTTCTCCTCACCATTGATCAAATTTCTTTAAGGACAGTTATAAAAATGTTTTTTATATGCACTAAACGTTTTTAGATGTGGCAATTAACATGGTGTAGTATCTTAATAAACACATCATCATGTCTCTGCTAGCTGACTTGGATTTTTAAAAATCAAGAGATGTCTAAAGTTGAGGGATGGAAGGCAAATGTGCAGTAGGATAAGTCATTACACAGGTATTTCCCTTAAGACAGACTGAGAGAAAGAGGAGTTTATTTTTTTATATAACATGATTGTGACATTTCCCCACAAGTACTGAGAGTTTCGACAGCAAGTCATTATAATGGTGTAGCTGAAGTTTGGGGCTTGTATGCTACGTGGTTTGGTGTAACATCTTACATTATATGGTGTGTGCTGCTTACTGGCAGGGTGGGGGAGGAGGGGTGAGCTACAGGTCAGGCAGATAGACCTTTGTTAATGATGAGTTCTTGTATGTCTATTGTTAGGCCCTGCGAACAGAACGAGCACGCCAGGAGCTGATCAGTCAGGTCAGAGAGTCAGCGGCCAGAACCCTGGAGAGCATCCGTGGTTAGTAATACACTTACAAACACATATGCACTGAAAAAATTATTTTATGTAGTGCTTGATGTACCATACATACACACCCTTGTCTCAGTGAGTATACCTTGAATAAATGGATCAGGTGTGAGTATAACCCAGACTCACTTCTCGACTCTTGACTACGAGAGTTTCATCAGCTCCATTCATTCCTCATAGGAGATCAGCAGAGAGGCACAGGGGCAATTGCAGTGAGGAATGCTTTGAATGGTTTCCAGTGCTATGGGCTGTGAAATTAAATCATCGCTCACACAGTTTAGCAAACCTCTCACGTCATTCATTACTTCAAAAGATGTGTGGCAAATTTTTGGAGGGGGGAGGGAAGATGGTTGAATGTCTGGCCTGATGCTCTGTGTGTCCTGGCATAAACATATGTGTGTGTGTCTGTTTGTATTAGACAGATGGTGGTGATGTCGCGTGTGTGTGTGCGCATGCATGCATGAGAGAGAGACAGAGATGTTATGTACTTTTCAATGTGGGAGGGGGTAAGCAGTCTGCTGTTATCTCCTTCACCTCCTGCAGGGCGCCAGGTGTCACAACGTCTGGCTGAGGAGGCCAAGAAGAGGGAGCGTTTTGAGGAGCTGAAGCAGCACCTGGAGCAGGAGCAAGAGGTAGTAAAGTGTGTGTGTATGTGAGAAGTAGGGGAAGAAGAAATATTTAGTGCGAATAAGAGATTTAAATTTGTGCTATTTGTGTTACTGCAAGTGCCTGTGTGAGAAAATGAGATTGTGAGCATTGATTGTAAGAGTAAGAAAAACTGTGATGGATGAAGAGAGATGAAAACGAAATGAGGCAGCTTCTTAGTGTTGAAGTTAATCAAAATGTCAGAAAACTTGGGGGGGGGGGAATCATGTAAAAATGTTGTTTGGATATGTTTCAGCTACAGCATTTGTGGCACTGATGCTGAAAGCACTGTGTGTGTGTGTGTGTGTGTACTTTGTATCAGTGGCAAAATGCAGCCAAGAAGAAGCAGGAGGAGGATGACTTCAGCTTTGCCAGAGAACTGAGGGACAGAGAGAAGAGACTACAGGCTCTGGAGGAGCAGCTGGAGCAGAGAGCCAGGTCTAACTGCTTTTACAGCTGCTGCTACTAGAGAAGTAGATGTTTTATTGAAGACTGGTTAATCTCTGTTCAGACTTTATTTGATCTAGAATATATTAACTGACTTTGTGCAAATATGATGGGGCATCAATTCCATCTGTGTAGGATTTTTCAGCAGCTGGACTTTTTCCATGCAGTTGGGATAACTGCGTGAAGCCGCAGCATGAGCAAATGTTATTAGAGCCTGGAATGTGAACATGGCGTGTGTGGTTTTTCAGACAATGGCTAAAAGCTGTTGCTTAGTTAGATGATATGCTGGAAATCAGAGTTTACCAAAGTTGAGGTAAGCACCCTATCATCTGCAGCTTTGTATCCAACCACTTCACTTTCTCTACCTCTTTCCTTGCAGTGTTACCCTGTGCAAAGAGTCGAAATTTTAAATGCTGAATTTATTTGGGATGTGCTAGGAAACTGTTTCATGCCATGTGAAAATAGATTTCATATTTTACAGCTTATTACCAATAAATCAATTGTAGATTATTAAAGCTATTGGTAATAGGTTATGGAAAAGCTATTACGGAGCTTGAAAGCAAACATTCACACAGACCTACAGTGTGGAAGCCCAGTACACTCATCAGAGTTCCTGATTGCTATATGATTTGCTCAGATTCAGATATAAATTATCCATTATTCAGATAAGACATACTATTTATAGTATGTGGTGGAATATCAGACTTGTCTGCAAAATTACATCAGCCGATCTATGTATAGGAGGAGTAGTGAATATTAACATTTTGCTGTCCTTATCTAAGTTGAGTATTAATATGAAACTAACAAGAGCAAAGCTATCTGTTCGCTGAATGGCCTGGTAGAAATTTATTAAAATCCTATTACAGGTTGCCGCCACATGCCCTGTCTCAAAGCGCATGACATTAGATAAGTGATTGACTTTCAATTTTAATTGTTAGTTGTAACTCTACATATTAAGCTTTTCCTAGACATGCATTTACTGCTCTGGATGGGAGCCTCAGCTAAATTATTTACGTGTAGCATGTGTGTTCCTCCACTCAAATTATAGGAAGGAACTGATTGCTCAGTACAGCCGTCTGTCAGAGGAAGCAGCCTGCAGAGAGAGACGGGCCATGTGGAAGGTGCAGCGAATGAGACTTTACGAAACCCGTGCTCAGTTCTTCATGCATGACAAGCAGCAGACTCAGGTTTGTAATAAACCAACATAGAACATGCAAGCAAAAAGTGACGAAGAGACTGTCATTTAGAGCTCTTATAACTTGCAGGCACTACTAGAGAAATACCCCTTAGGCCAGGGGAGACCTCCTGTGGAAGTGTTGCCATCTGTTCCCTCACTACAACAGACTGTACCACAACTAACACTGGTATGACACCACATGGGTTCTTGAATATGAACCTTGTTTTTTCTTTCATTTTTATGCTCTTGTAACATGCATCCTGTACACTTCCTCAAGTTAATATATTTTCTTACCAGGAGTCTCCCACTCAGAAGCCATCTGAACAGCAGCCAGCAAATACTGAAGAATCTGATGCTGTATCACCACCACCAGACCCATCTTCATGTACTCTCACCCCCTGTAGAGCAGACACTGCTCTCATCTCTGAGAACATTGATATCAATGATCTTCTCCCCAAGTCACCAAATCTTGACGGTCAGCAGGTTGATATGGCCCTACAAGACATTGGCTCTGACCTACCTGAAGCCTGCCCTATAGCACAGCTTGTTGACTATGACTTCAGTGCCCCCTTTAGTCCACTTGAGGGTATCGCTGGGCAGTCCTCAGCCCAGCCCCGCTCTCGCTGGGGACCTGCAGTCCACCCTGACTTGATTCACATCTCACAGAATATGTCTGAAGTACAGGAGAATGGCCCAAAAGCCACTCCCTTTGGTCATGTGTCCAAATCCAGCTTTCCTCCAGGCCAGTATACCCCAGAGGAGCCCGAAAATACATCAAGTGTTTACAGACCGCCCTTGCCAGCCTCAGTGCTGCTGCTAGATGGTGGTGGCTCAAACATGATCCACAAGCAAGAAAGAGTTGCATCTATGCCAGAACAGGGCACTGAAATGGGGATTTTGGAAAGTAAATTTGATGCAAAAGAAGATGAGATCAAATCTGTCGGGGATAAAAAAGAAGATGGTGTTGTTGACATTGCCCTTTCTACTACATCAGAGCAAGGCCTTGATAATGGTGACAGCAAAGTTGTAAGTGTTTCTGACTGTGGTGTTACATCACTTGAGGCAACATCGGATTCTCAGGATAAAGCTGGTGAAACGAATTCTTTGACACACATTCATGGTCATGTCTCCAGTGCACACCTAAAGGTTGGAGACCTGGTTTCAGGCATTGTTGCCCCTCAACCTTTACAGAGCATCCATGGACATCCCTCTGCTGCTCACATAAAGGTTGGTCAGTTTGTATCGGAGATAACTGCTCCTCTGCCTTCACCTAATTTAGTTCATGGTCACGCCTCAGATTCGCACATCAAGATTGGAGAATATGTATCAGAAGCTGATGCTTCTCTACCTTCCTCCAGTGTTTATGGCCACTCTTCTGATGCTCACATTAAAGTTGGAGAAAATGTTTCAGAATTCTTTACCCCTCTTCCTGCTCCGAATGTTCACGGTCATACCTCAGATGCTCACATCAAAGTTGGGGAGCTCGTTTCAGATGTAGCTGCACCACTTCCTATTCCTAGTATCTATGGTCACTCATCCGATGCTAATATCAAACTGGGTGAGTTTGTGTCCAACATAACTGAATCGAGACCTCGTTGGAGTAGACATGGGCACGCCTCAGACTGCACACTTCAACTAGGATGTGTAGTATCTGGAGCTGAACCAGCTTTGTCCCCTTTGCCTGGAAGTTCTTATGGTCACTCCTCAGACTCAACATTAGGGATTGGATGTGTAGTTTCAGGAGATGGAGCCAAACATTATCCTCTGCCTGGAAGTTCTTATGGTCACTCCTCAGACTCAACATTAGGGATTGGATGTGTAGTTTCAGGAGATGGAGCCAAACGTTATCCTCTGCCTGGCAGTGCTTATGGTCATTCATCAGACTCAACATTAGGCATTGGATGTGTTGTGTCCAAAAAGGCACCAGTTCCTTCACCTCTACCAAGCAGCGCCTACGGCCACTCCTCTGATTCAACGCTGGGCGTAGGTTGTGTGGTTTTGGGCATGGAGCCGAAAGCCTCTGCACTACCAGGGGGTGCTTATGGCCACTCATCAGACTCTTCACTTGGCGGTGGATGTGTGGTGAAGAGTAAAGGTGGAGATCAGCAGAAAACCGAGGGCAATGAAGATAGTAAAGGTATAGGTGATACACAACAGTATACACTGAGGCACACTGCAGTGTGTGTAGTAAGCTCAGTAGCACTTAGTAGCATTTTGCTCTGTCCTTTGGTGTTAAGAATAGTGTCCAAAAAATTATAATGTCACTGAAAGATCTGTCTATATCTCTTGCTCTTTTAGCTTCTAAGCCAGAGAACCTTGGTGAGCAGCTGGTAGAGGGCATGGGGTCCTGGGCAGCCGGATTCATGTCCCCTGGAGAAAAATCTGAGAAAGAATACCTGTTGGCTTTGTCTGCTCAGTATGAGGTGGAACACTATGAAGACTGCTACAACCTAATCGGTTAGTTAAAAAACATGACTGGCTCAAGATTAATAGCCCCTTTGGCTCGTAATTTAATCAGTTAATATGGTGCTTAAGACATAAAGGACTTTTGTACATTATATTCGCAATTCTGCACTCACACATAATGGTATCCGGCTGGGGTGTAAGAAATACCATTGCAGATTATAGTGTGTTCCCGGTTGCATTTGACGTTTAAAAACTTTAGTTGCAAAAAATGACTGTGTGGTGTTTCTCTACTCACCCATTTGACAAATTGAAACAATTCCACTCTTGTTGTTTGAAGAACGTTTATAGATAACTGTGCGTTGGTTTATACCTGCTGCTATTCTGAATTCATTCACAGGCATCTACAAGTACATTTATCATTGGCAGCAGAGAAAATGTAGCTACAAATAATTGCACAAACAGCATTAGATTGGAAAACACAAGGAGGCGTAGAGAACAGAACCTCGGAGAACTCCATGTTAACTTTATAGGACAGGATGTGGAGTTGCACAGAATAACAGACAAGTTTTGGAAAAGAATTCAGTCAGCTAAAGACAGAGAGAATAGGTTTGTGTTCTTACGAAGAATAAGATAACAGAGTTCATGTTTTGTATAAGGTTGGTTACCCCTAATAGTAGCTGAAGCCTAAACTTTATTTAAGCCTTTATTTTAAAACCTTACATGGGTTAATTTCATAGCCCTGTCTGTCAGCCAATTCTTGTAGCCTACAGCACATATCAAATTAAAACATTAAATGGGCTGCCGTAGTGTTCATGGGTCATTTACACACTATGTGCTGCCTTTCTACTTTCTGATGTCTTTTATATAACTTAATGAGTAATGTCTTTGTCTTTTAAAAAAAATTTAAAACATCATGTTCAAACTGCATAGAAATGAAAGTGATACACAGCACGATGGAGTCTGCTTGATGTAAATTGAAACAAGCATTTTTACATCTTCAGGAGTGACGCATTTGCAGAGGCTGTGAAGTATTTACTCTATCAGCAGGCACAGAGGCTGTATAAAATGCATTGATATTGCATTGAGGTATTATCCCTGGTTTATATTTGGCTGCATACTGGCTCATTGAAGTAATATCCTGTCTTTCTCCCTCTGTGTTTGCAGTTAAGTCATGTTGCTATTATTTATGCCAGGGTCTCTAAGAAATCAATCAGATTCTGCTCAGCCAAATACATCTTCCACACCGCTGATCATAATTGTTTAGGGGGTGTTACTAGAATTATAGAGGGAGGGTGGCCAAAAATAACAACAAAATTAAATCTTGCATAAAAGTTAGTTCTGTTTTAATGAAAATTGGAGTGATTCTTATGTTTGTTCCTGTTTTTGTGCATCGGAGAGATGTTAATTTTAGAGTTGTAAAACGAATATCTTTCACAATTTCCAAAAGCCCATGTCTTGTTTTGTTCAGCCAGTAGTCAAAAACGCAAAGATTTTCAGTTAAATATCATACAAGACTAAGAAATGCCACAAATGTCTACATTTGAGACAATGGAACAGATTGTTTCAAACTATTTTGCCTCATGTCTAGGAAAAGATGACTGGATAATATTTATTGAACATCTGTTCCTTTTTCATGTGACAAAACATGATTTTTTTTTCCTGATATTTAAACCAACAGTTTTCTGCAGTTTTGAGAGTGATATTGTGTCAGCAGCATGCCTTTCACTTCCCTCTCGTGCAGCTTCATCCCCTGAGTGTCAGATGCTGAAGCAGGTAACCCGGGGACCCTGGGGCCTTCCTATGGACCCCACGCCACACAGAGCTACAGACACCACTGCTGTCCAACTCAGCGAGATGGTTTCCCTGCCAGTTTTAATAAAACACTCTGTCACTGCCCCGCTCATCACACAGTGAGTGTCAGACTGAAAGAAAGCTGCAAGAGTAGAGGAACTTTTTGTGTTAGAGACATTACAGATGAAATATTTGAAAGTTATTGGAGTTTCTGAGGAAGTTGTGCTGATTTTAACTACAAAGTCAAGTACAACATTTAGAGAAATGCAGGTGTGAGGTTTTTTTTTTTTTACTGATTTCTTGTCATTTTCCTGCTACTTCAGGCCACTTAAACTGTACCTAAGCCCATTTTCTGCCCTGTAGGAATCATTTAAATTCTTATTACCTTCCATCTTTGCAGGATCCTTTTTTACTGTTTGAAATTCCATCAGAACTCCAGACAAGCTTGTCAGTCTTCACCTACAGTGTTTCTGCACACTGTGCAGTTTAGCCTTTGTGTGTAAAGAGATGGTTTTCTCAGGGGGTGTAGCATATTTTGCGTTGGAATTCATAACTCAAAATTTTATCCCATGCTTAAATGAAGCAGTGGAGTTGGGCAGAGATTTTCACCAATTTGTATCTCTTCCCTGCTGACTTTTCAGTGAAAGAGAGTCTTTCCTAATCCCACTTTGGTATAAATGTGAATAATTTAAAATACAGACAAAGTGCAAAAACACCAGAATATTCCCAGAGCTTCCTACAGTGCTGGTTTCCGTCATCCCCCACAACCTGTATGAAATTTGAAAGACAGCATCATTTTAGGTCCTGATTCCTGTGTCAGAACTTTTCTGTCTTTATCTTGGTCATGCTCTCTCCCACTTCCAACTCCAGTGTATCTTTAGTGAACAAGGCTGTGGTGGACTACTTCTTTGTGGAGTTGGGGGTGGAAAGACACTTTGAAGCGTTGCGCCACTTCTTGCTGATGGAGGATGGCGAGTTTGCACAGTCCCTCAGCGATCTGCTCTTCGAAAAGGTGATGCTCTCTCAGAACTGTTATTGTCACCTCTGTGCACAGAATAGGATGGTATATGCTGTTTTTATCTAGTTTATTGCATTCTAGGAGATAACGTATCAGAACAAGGCCCAAATGGTCTGATCTGCACTTTGTTAAACCTTTTTTTTTTTGTTGATGCAACTGTTGTAGTTGGAGGGCAGTTCTCTAGATATTCTGCAAAGTGCCTGCAAAAGGTCATATATATATATATTCCTAGAGCCTGTCTGTGTGATTATTCTAGGCATAGCTTCTTTAAAAAAGAGTTGACTACTAATGACTGAAAGGTGTCAAGAGCGTGACAAGACAACAGAATGACCACCCAACACTGCAGTTCTCCTCAGCTGTAAAAAGCATTTGAGCTCAGTGGGTTTTTTTCCTCATTGTTATGTATTTGCCACCTGCAATTTCAGTTTTTGGTTCAGTCTGAGAGCTCTTGTTAGCACTGTTTTTAGCACTTGTTTTCAGCAAAAAGCAGTAAAAGCTCAGTACACTACCTGCCAGTCTTCAAACAGGAGACTAACACAGTTAATGACTAGTTGGTGAAAATAGTGTTTAGCTGCTATTTACCTGGGTTTTCCTTCAGGGCTTGAGTGTTGGTGGAAACCCAAACAGAGGCTAAAAGGTGAGGGGTTAATATGTCAATTTTGAAGCTTGGGTTGTGCCCCCTGAAGACCAAAAGATCGGGTACTCTAGGTTTAAACATTAGATGCTTAAACTTATTGTTTTATATCTGATTTTTCTCTGTGCCTTTTTGCTGCACATAATGCATTACTGCCAGATTTCAGAACTGCTTACATCCTGGTGTGAAATAACACGCACAGCGTTTTGCTGACACCTTGGTGTTGTTCTGCTGAAACTTTCATGTACATCTGTCTCTTGAGGCTCATGAGACAGAAGGTTTTTGCTGCAGCCAAATACTACAGCAGCTGATTGCACTGATTAGCACACCTTCAACCAGAAAGGGAGATAATCACTGCAGTCAGCTACCTGTAGTGTGTGTTTGAAATGGAAATGTGACAATTTGAAGGCCTTGGTAGTATATCAAACGACAGTTGTACAGGTATGGGTAGTTATCCAAGCTTGACCGTACTTTATTTTTGACTGATGTCCCCCACCCAGCTGAGCAGTGGGCAGACGCCCGGTGAGCTTCTGACCCCCCTGGTCCTGAACTCCATCCTCAGTAAAGCCCTGCAGTACAGCTTACATGGGGACACCCCCCTGGCTAGCAACTTCACCTTCGCCCTACGCTTCCTCCCAGAGACCTTCTACCCACACGCCCCTGACTCTCTCAACTGTTTGGAGCTCCGCTACAAGGTGAGGCGATGTGTTTTAATGGAGTAACTAAATGATTGTGTATGCTTGCATGGTTGATCTTGACTCAGCACGAGTGGCAGTTTGAATGTGACAACCTGTCATGTATTGACAAACTGCTCTGGGTGTGGAAAATGGGCTTATCACACGTTTAAATGGTTGAAACTAGTAGATTGATTGGAGTTTGGTCTTTTAAATGATATGCACAGTGACTAATGCTGTACATATTGTCCTCTGCTCTTGTTCACTCCTGTGTTCATCACCATTCTATCTATCTCATGACTTTCCTTTCCTACTGTCTCCTTCCCTCTTTATTCCCCCTACATTTATCTCTTGCTTCATGTGTTTTGCTTTGCTTTCTCTCTTTTCCCCCATTCCTCTTCTGCTCAAACCCGTCTCTCACCACTCTGTCTTCTTCCCTTCACAATCCTCTCACCTCCTTTATCAACGTCTCTACACTCACACCTTATTTCTTCCCTTCCCTCACCTCATCCGTCACTCTCCCTTTACCTGTTTTTCGTGACTCCTGTTTCACTCCTGTTCTTCCTTTTGCACCACTTGCTGTCGCACTTTCACACACTTTTTTTCTTGTCTTGGTGTTTTTGTCTCTATACCTTCATGTCATCCCCCAGGTGGACTGGCCGTTGAACATCATCATCACAGACAGCTGCATGAACAAGTACAACCGTCTGTTTTCCTTCCTGCTGCAGCTCAAATATGGTTTGGAGCCTCCGTGATGTCTGGTTCCATCTCAAGAGAACAGGTAGGATGAGAGCTGTTGATTCAGGCCCAGCCCAGACTCCAACATCGAGAAAGAAGACTTAAGATTATTCCTGTTGTGTTTCAAGTGTGTGTGAAATATTAATGGAAGGGAATGTCGCTATTCTTTTGTTTTATTAATATGAAGCAAATGTGATACCAACTGGAGTGTTGTGAAGCAGTGTGTTTCTCTCGGTATTTGTTAACGTAAGCAGACTAACCTGATCACACTTTGGCAAAGAAAAAAGAATGAGAATGCAATTATCATAACTATTGCTTCTGCTATCACTTATTTACTACAGTGGGTACGGAAAGTATTCAGACCCCCTTAAATTTTTCACTCGTTATATTGCAGCCAAATGCTAAAATCATTTAAGTTCTTTTTTTTTTCCTCATTAATGTACACACAGCCCATATTGACAGAAAAACACAGATTTTTTTGACATTTTTGCAGATTTATTAAAAAAGAAAAACTGAAATATCACATGGTCATAAGTATTCAGACCCTTTGCTGTGACACTCATATATTTAACTTAGGTGCTGTCCATTTCTTCTGATCATCCCTGAGATGGTTCTACACCTTCATTTGAGTCCAGCTGTGTTTGATTATACTGATTGGACGTGATTAGGAAAGCCACACACCTGTCTATATAAGACCCTACAGCTCACACTGCATGTCAGAGCAAATGAGAATCATGAGGTCAAAGGAACTGCCTGAAGAGCTCAGAGACACAATTGTGGCAAGGCACAGATCTGGCCAAGGTTACAAAAAAATTTCTGCTGCACTTAAGATTCC